TAAAAGACCCAGAGTACCAAGCAATACTGAGCAAGAAGGTAAAGCTCGAGGCATCAAATATCAGACCTCAAATTAATCCTATAGAGCTCTAGTAACAAAACCAACATGATATTGTCGCGGAGACAGACACAAAGACCAATGGAATAGAATAGAAGACACAGAGACAAACCTGATATCCTCCAAAGTTACCAAAAAGATAGCTCTTTTCAAAAATGGTGCTGGAATGTAGAGGAATGAAACTAAATCCCTGTCTCTCACCCTCCACAAAAGTCAACTCAAAGTGGATCAAAGACCTAGTAATGAGACCAGAAACCTTGCAACTAATAGAAGAAAACATAGGCTCAACACTCCTATGATTTCCTTAAAAAGACTCCTAAAACACAAGACAAGAAATAAAGCCAAGAATCAGTTAAGTGGGAGAGCATCAAATTTAAAAGCTCCCAATTTTTAAAAGCAAAGTTCTATTTCAGTGACTGCTACAGGTACGACTTGAGTCACCGGGAGTTTTGCTGGAGCTTGGGTCAGGGGCTCAGGACCCAGCTTCTGTCCTTGCAGAACTTGTATTCCAGGAACAACTAAAGCATTTGTAGATGTGTCATCAACCAAAACTAGAATTGGGTTCTAAAATGAAGCATCACTTGAACTGATGGCCTATCTTTATTTGTACAATTTTAGTTTTCGGTGGACACAACATCTTTTGTTTTATGTGGTGCTGACGATCGAAACCAGTGCCCTGCGCATGCAAGGTGAGCACATTACCGCTTGAGCCACATCCCCAGCCCAATTTGTACAATTTTAAATAGTTACCAGGCACTTATTGGTGACTTGAATTTGAACATCAAGGCTAAATTTCTTTTCAGAAAGCTTAGCTCGTCTGGTTTTGCTGGGCTTTGCTATACATAGATGAGCAGCAGTCCATGGTGAGAGCTGAATCCCTGAGATGTGGGTGGTTGTAGGTGCTGGATGACTGGGCTGAAAGGTCTCTCCCCTACCTGAAAATGTTGTGTTGTGTTGAAATTTATCTTAGAAAAGGACTGCTAAGTTAATATCACTTTGACAACTCATTTTTCTTTAGAGACGTGGAAAACAACTGTTTAAATACCCAGTTTATTTTCATGAGTCTGGCCCCTGGCTGATTTTGATTGGCAGCTCATTCATTTGTTTGCCCATCCATCTTTGGAAGATGGAGTGCCATGCACCAGGTTTAATATAGAAACACAGCATTTAGTAAGACGTGGTCCCAGCTCTCAGGAGCTGGCAACCCCGTTGGCAGAGCAGGCCTGGGGACACTTGGTCGTGTCATGCAACATATGTTTAGTGCTGTGATTCAGGTGGGTGACCACCTCCACTGAGTGTGGGCAGGCTTGAGAGAAGCTTCCAAGGAAGAGGTGACTTGGAGTGTGTGTCCTCGAATGTATGTCAAGGTACCTAAGCAAAAAACAAGAGCTTGGGTCTTATCTGCCTCTTTTTTCCTCCAGTCCCACGGTGCCTCTAAGGAGTTAGGCCACATGATCCAGCACACCCCACTAGTCGGTCTATCCAGTAAGCTGCTTAGTATTCTATTTTGTGCAATCAGAGATTAACTTCCAAATTCACTGACACTAAAGATGAAACAGCTAATTATACAGGGTAATTGCATTTAAAGTCCTTGCCTCTGAATGACTGATGAAATCTTCTTTAAAGGCTGCTGATATTCGGTGCGCCAGCAAGCCGCGGTGCTGAAGGGGCAGTGTATTTTTAGGCTGGTGGTGTGGGCACGGCCCCAGGCTTTCTCCCAGTGCCTTTCCTTGAACTCTGGACCTTTAAAAAGAATGCTTTTGTCCTCTTTTATCTCTGCTTCACAGTTAATTGTTCATCTGGTTGAAGTAAATCAGAGAAGCACATGAGTGGGTGTGTGCACACATGTACCTTTAAGGAGAGAGAAAACCAGACAGAGAAAAAGGGAAAAAAAAATAACCTGAAGCTTCAGAAATAGTAAAATAGCACGTACAGATAGTTAAGACAATTTGCAAAACGCAGTGCGTATAGATTAGAGTAGGACAATTGTGTGATAACACGATAGCACTGCTTGTTTTATAGAAGTTTCCTATGTAATAAAGTCAATGACTTAAACTTGATCATTTCTAGCACTTTATGTGTGAAGTTGGAAATTTCAGGGTGTGTGCTCATTTTGGCCACTCACTGTGGGACGTACTCAGTCTTGAGACTTGATTCAGAGTCCACCACTCTCTATAAACATCTGGAAAAGGGAAGTGCCTGGTCCCACCGGTGGTGCCTCTGCAGTGGGATGCAGCTCAGAACTCGGCTGTGTTTAGAGGACGCTCACTTGACTTTTCTCCCAACTTGATGCTAGCTGAGGCTCCTGGAATCCTTTCAATTGGATGAAAAACGCAGGAAGTTATGTCAGATGAATCATCCCATCCTGCTGTGTGTCGCTTTTCAGAATCACTTCCTCTGGATAATTAATAAAAGATCGACAGGAAGAACGTCCCTGGAACGGCTAGCAGGCTGTTTTAGAATGCAGAAAAGGATGGGACTAGTTTAGAGGTGCAAACTAGTTTTTATTTTATTTTTCCCATTGTTCTGTCAAACTGAGCACCTACTTTTTGCCATTGAAGGATTTCTCATGGAGATGGAGGCGGCTTGAGTGATGGCAACGCTGACCCTTGTTGAAACATGGCGCGGAGTCTTCAGGGAGCAGTAACTGCAGGTCTCCCCAGTGGAAAGCACCTCAAACCTGCTGATAACCCCCAGAAGCCTGTCTACCAGCCTCTCCACAGCTTTGGCCTGGTGCATCTCTCATGCATCTGAAGGGCGGGGCAGATTTGAGTTCTTTTCTTTTTTTCTTTTCTTTTTTTCTGTCTTTATTTAAAATGGTGCAAAAATGTTTCCAGGTACTATACCAAGAATCCTACATCATTTTTTATCAGAAAACACTTAGTGCCCACTCACCATCCATGACCTTGAATTCTGCCGACTGAGCTGGGGATAATACACTTTCTTTGGGTCAGATGTTAAGTTGGTTAGAAGCCCTCTTTCCCCACTGTGCCTCTAATCTTTGCACCTCTAAACTAGTCCCATCCCTTTCTGCCATGATCCTTTCACATTTTACTCCAGCAAATACTGTGTTCTAACTCTACCGTCATGCTGATACACATTACAACTTTATTATACCATCCTAACAATCTTGCTAATTTTCAAAATATTAACTTTGGCACTAATTAGATGTGAGACCTTCTGGAAGTCACCTAAATGCCTTGAGCTTCCATTTTCCCAACTACAAAGTAAAAGGCCTGACCTAGAACATCTGTGTTCTCTCAGTGTCTGCATTCTGTGGTCTCCAGTGTGCCTGGGCCGGCTTTGGGCAGAATAGGCAGAAATGCTCACGGAGTTACTGTTGAAAGAAGTGAGGGCCCCCCTCTCTACTTCTGGAAATATCACCTGACCCTCAGTACTCCTTTCTTCCTACCCAGATCTCCCTAGTAGCTCCCTCCCAGACTATCATGGGTCTGCATCTAGCCCAAGAGCCAGGACCCAGAGGCCACAGGGGTGAGGCCCCATAGAGTCCAGCTCACCTCCTGCCACTCACTTCCTGAGCTTGACTATAACTTTCACTCTACTCCCCCACCATGCCTCAAGTAACCCCATTCCAATAAGACAGGACCTCTGTGACTCCCTAGATGAAAACTACTTCAGTGGTCTTCCACCTGCCACCTAGGAGCCCTGAGACCCGAAGATGTAAACACACCTCTCTAGCCAGAAGCAAAATATCGCTTTGAAAACTCATGTTTTGTCTTAAACATTCATAGAAAGTTTGGATTGCACTCCATGCCATAGCAACTCGTTTAAATATAAAAATGTGGTTAAAAAAAAAAAAACAACAAAAAAACCCTAGGGTGCTAACACACAAGGAGGTCTGAAGCCCAGAGAACACAGGGAATATTACTCGGTGCTGCAATAAGCCACGCGGTGCTCCTTGGTCCCTCGGCCCTGCACCTCCCCCAGCTTGCCTCCTGCAACATCCTTCGTGGCTTGAGAGGTATGGAAAGAAGGCAACGCATTTTGTGCAGTGGAAAGAAGGGTGGGAGCTTTGCTTGTGGTCCGTGGCACCCCCTCCCGTCTTCCCTCCTATCCTCCCTATCGAGGTGCATTCTATGAATATTTAGTGACGTGAGTATTTCAGTGAGTTTCTAAGTCTCTAATCCTTCTTGGGGGCGGTGCTTGGAAGCCTGAGGAGGGTCTCCTCTCCTCTCCCCTCAGGGCATGCAGATTTGAGGGTGGGCTTTGCAGGTGCTGGTGGGCCATGACAGACACATGGGGCCCAGGTTGCTCCTATAGCCTGAGACCTGGGGTCTCCTGTTCTGGGCTCCAGAGCTCCTTAACTCTCAGTGTGTTGGACCCTCAGAGTCAGCAGAGCTGTAACACAGTCTGCCTGGCTGATTTCTTGTATTTAGGATTGTCCTAAGCATATCTGACAGGCCTTTGGTTTTGCCTCTAGGAGGGAAGGGGAGCTGCCACCCTGCTGGTGGTGCACTCAGGCCCTGGGGCAGGGTCTCGGGGAATATTGTACATTTGCACACTGAGGAGAGAGCAACCAGGGCAGGGCTGCGTGGGGTCAGATGGCTAGATACTGGAGGCTGGTTTGAAATGTGTATTTCAGACTAAGGCCAAGTGTGGCCTTAGCCAGAGCCAGCACCTGAGCTCTCACGTACAGCAGGGTGCTAACAAGGGACTCATATCTCCAGGGGCCCTGGGCATACTTCAACTGATTTTATGTCGCAGGACTCAAGGGCTGAGTGTTATTGCAGTGAGCCCATTAGCATCTGTAGGCCCTGGGGACACCTGAAGATCAGAACTGTGCAGAGGCTCTGCAATGGCTGCCCCGGAGCGGGAGAGGCTCAGCACAGTCGCCTGGCTGCACAGAGCAGAGTGATGTGCACAGCCTCAGAGGGAAGGGGGTTGGAACCTGGGAGGGGCAGCAACTAGAAAAAGAAAAGGTATTTTTCTACAGGTTTGTTTAATCAGCAATTGTGGCCTGGATGCCAGAATTTGCTCCAGGCTGGAGGTTAAAGTGACCCATGGCACAGGCAGGCTTCATGTTGGAGGAGGAAGCAGCCAGGGCAAGGTGCAGTGGGTGCTGGGAGCCAGCAGAATCATGGACAGATGGAGAGTCCCAATTCTGTGGAATAAATAAATAAGTGAATAAAAAGGGATAGTAGTTAGAAGGTTGAAATAAGGGGGGATAGAGCCAGTCTCGTTGGACGCAGAGAGGTCCAAGAGAATCACTATGTGTTAGAATACGGAGTCTCAGAGGTCAGCAGGATGGGTGGACTCAACCAGAAGGGTGGGGGACAGGACAGGGCTGGGCTCTGAGACCAGGGCTGGTCCAGGGCTGCAGTAAGCAACAGGCTGAATCCAAGCTCCCTGCTCACCACCTGCTCCCATGCAGCCAAGGCCCACAACACAGCCTCCCCTCTTTGGGTTTCCCAGCAGCAGATCTCCAGCTTCTCCTTCTATGCCATCCATGCTCTGTGCGTTTTAAGTGGCTTACTATTTAATCCTCGTGGCAACAACTTGGCAATTGGCTTTGGCTCAGGATTTCAGACCAGGAGCCAAGGTTCAGGAAGATTGAGTAGCCTTCCCAAGGTCACACAGCTAGTTAATATGAGCGCTGGGAGATGGAAGCAGATAAGTCTGCTTTCAGGACTTGTCTTCATTCTCCTTCACCAAAGCACTTGATGGGCTCATGGACCTCGGAGTTGGGACAGGTCAGTGAGAGGCCTCTGAAGAAGGTGCAATCCTCCTTTTTTGCACCCTCAAGAAGATGGGCACAGGGAAGTGGTTTATGTTCTTGCTTAGGAAATGGCAAACAAGTGAGAGGGAGAAAAGGAAAGAAAGGAGGGAAGAAGAAAAAGGAGGAAAGAAGGAAACCTCAGCTGCAATGAACGTATTCAGGATTTTGTTGGCAGAAGGATCTAGAAGGAAGGCATTTTAGTTTGGGCATACCTGATATTGTGTGCATCACTTGGCTTCTGCTGCAGTCACTTGCTTTGCTTTGTCCTGGTCTTTCCCCTTTCGCTTGAGACACTTCTTTCCCAGGCGACTTCGTCTTCTCCAGATAGAGGTTCTAACCTGCTGCTAGTGGTGCCCCTCTCCTCCCACACCTCCTGGTTCCACCCAAGGCCCATGTTGGCCCAGGGCAGCACCCCAGCCTGCCAGGCTCCTGAGTGTGGCTAAGCCAGGACAGGGTGGAGAGCTCCTGCCCAAGGCCAGCAGGAGTAGCCCTTCTCAGGACCTGGCGCTGAGGGAGGCAGACGCTCCAGCAGCCTGGAACTGAAATGGGGAGTACTCTGAATCAGTTACCCAGGAGGCGTTTGGGAGAGACCGCCCTCAGACCTCAAGCAGCAATGCCACTGTGTAACTTTGGCCTGCTGACTGAGGGCTCTGGTCATACACACTGTGGAGCCTCTCCCGCTGCAGGGGACAGAAACATCCCTAGAGCTGAGCAGGTGGTGACAGAGCCAGGCTGTGCTAACCCCCAGGCCCACATGCTAAATGGCACAGGGATCAGCCAGCACCACAAAGCCTGCTGCTTGTCCTCAGGTATCAGAGGATGGAGGCCAAGGACCAACCAGAAGGCAAGGACCGAACCACAGAAAACCGTGAAAGGGGTAACAGGAGTTTACAAAAGGAGGATTCGGTGTAGACAGAGATCCTGGTAAGGGCTGGAACTCAGGGGAGCTGGCTGGAGCACAGAAGGAAGGGCAGTCGGAGAGGTGAGGGGAGTGAGACTGAGAGAAGGAATGTCCCCAACAGGATGGGATGTGGAAGATAGCACTACTGTCCTTTGTCACCCTTCTCCAAGGAATTTTGCAAATTGCATCCTGTGACTTTCAATAGACACATCCCTTTCTTGACGTGTTTGGAAATGTACAACCCTGGTCCCCGGCACAACACAGGTCTTCAAATCCTGTCCATTGGGCTTTAGGATTTGGAGGTTGAGGAAGGTTCAGATTCGTTCCTTCTAGCCTCTGAAGCCTCAGAGGCAATGTTTGGAAGCGTGGGCCACAGAAGAAGGAGGACGTGCTGGTCAGATGCTGGTCCTGGCCACCCGCTGGAGGGGGCGTATCAGCCATTAGCAGGAGGGCACTGGCTGTGCTGGGCCCTGGGCCATGCCGCCTTCCCACTTGGGTTCTGCAAGAAATTTCACAGGTCTGACACTGAGGTCCCATTTCTACTGAGTCACCTTGAGTTTTTCTTCCTTCTTGTAAAATATGACTCATTGATACACAAACCTTAATTCCCTGCATTCTTGCAAAAGTTCATTGCAAGGTAAGTCTCCTGACTCCTCTCTCATGGCTACTTATGTTTCAAGAAAGGGATGAGGCTCAGGGAGGAAGTAGCCACAGATCATTGACTAGCAGGCAGTCCAACTGTGATTCAGATCCAGGTCTGAATTCAAGGCCTGGGTTCTTTGGCTTCAACCCCACTGTACCCTGTGTTCATTCTCTGGGGATACGGGAAACGACATACTCCCAAATGGTTGCTTTGAACAGAAAGTGGTGGTTGCACAGATCTGTAGGCTGGATGCTGATGTCAGGGCCTCCAGGGCCACCTCCCTCTGAAATCAACGGATGCAAACTTTCCTGCCTCTCCCAGCTTCAGGTGATGCTAGCAGTTCTGGTTGCTCTGCGCTGTAGCTGCAGAGACTGTTCCAGTCTCTCCCTGTCTCCCACAGCCTTCTCCCTCTGTCTCTAAGGACACAGTCCTCTTTGGAGGGGGCCGTCCCTTCTCCAGCAAGATCTCACCTTCTCTTGCTTGTATCTGCAGAAACCCTCATTCCAAATAAGATCACGTCCATGGGGACTGCAGTTACAGCTACAGAAGGAGAGCCATCTGGAGAGAGCAGAGGCAGAGAGGTCTGCTAGGGAGCTGGCCACTCCACGGGGAGCAAGTGCTTAGTGCTCCCTGGGAGCGCACATGTTCTCTGTCGAACCTCCTTAATGTTAGCATGTGGGAGAAGAGGATATCTTGCAGGTGTGGGAGCACTGTCAGAAAATAATGCAACCTGGAGAGGGGTGAGCAAAAGGCACATATTTAAATCTTCAACGCACTTGCTAAAACAGAGCATAAAAAAGGCAAAAGTCAGTGGGAGGAAGGGCAAGGAAGAGCAGCCAACACCATTCCAGGGCACAGCTGCTGTGCACCCTGGTGCTGAGCAGCATAGTGGCATTGCTCTCCTGGGAGGTTTTGAGTGGGTGCTCAGCATTGTGTTTATTTGCTTTCAACTTCCTGGTTGATGTTTTTCCTCATATCTTCTATGTCTTTGGATAATGTTAAAAGCTAACATTGATTCACAGACTTATGAGAACCAGGATTTTTTTAAAATATATTTTTTTAGATATTGATGGACCTTTATTTTATGCATTTATTTATATGCGGTGCTGAGACTCGAACCTAGTGCCTCACACATGCTAGGCAAGCGCTCTACCACTGAGCCATGACCCCAGCCCGAGAACCAGGATTTTTGACCTGAATCTCACTCTTGGACATCAGTAATAAATTTTAAAAAATAAACAACTTTTGGGAAGAACCAGAATTAACTAAGCAAGGCAAGGAAAATGGATAGGGTCTTATAACTACTTGCATTAATCCTAAGAAGACAACTCAGTCCATCCTGGAAACTCCTAGCAGGAAGTCACATTCAAAGTATGCTTCTTGCTCTCATTAAAGACCTTGGTTTAATGTCCATCACCCTCAAGATCTCCATGGCCACTTTGGTCTCAAGAATACAACAGGACAACTAGGAAACTGCGCGGGCCCCAGGGAGTGTCACGGGAAAGTGCACTGTCAGACCACCTGGGCTGGGAGATCTTGATATCTGCAGGGTACATCAGCTAGGGGCCCCAGAAAGACTGCATACATGTTTGAATGTTCCAGGCTAAACACTGATCTTTGGCAATTAGCCATTTAAAATGGAGCAGCTTTCTGTTCCCAATTCCTCTCCTTTTATAGTCCTGACACTAATGGTCTTGTTCCTGTTCCCAGCTGTCCTCTTCCAAGGCCCAGGGCCACATTACTCCTTTCCAGGTGCAGATGCGCTTACCTTGGGAAGCACTCTATCTACAGGATGACATGACCCCAATGTCCTAATGACGTGTTGACGTGCACCCATTGCCAGCCTTCACCACAGCCAGCTTTCACCCAGGGGGTGCTGAGCCTGTCATGGCTGATACCCTAACATGAACCATGAATCGCCTTAGGCGTCTTTTTGGTATGATTGAATCATGATTGAATCCAGAGGTGTTTGACCACTGAGCCACATTCCCAGCCCTTTTTTATATTTTATTTTTAGAGACAGATTCTCTAAAAGAGATTCTCAGGGCCTTGATAAGTTGCTGAGGCTGGCTTTGAACTTGCAATTCTCCTGCCTCAGCCTCCCAAGCTGCTAGGATTGCAGGCATGCACCACCACGCCTGGCTATCTTAGACTTTTGATTGGACACTTATTAATTCAACCTCTTTTCCTTCGTCTTTTCAGGACTACGAAGTATCCTTGGGAGTGGATGAATACCTCCACCCCTGTCTCACCCGTCCAGGCTGCCAGTACCAATGATGGGCTTCCAAGTCCCCTGCTTCACCCTAGTGACCTGGTCATGGGGGCTTCCAGACCAGCAGGGAATCTCTTCCTGCCTTTGGAGTCCCCACCTGCGCCCTCTGAACTCCAGACAGTGCCTCTGAATAGCACCTCCCTTTCTTCTTCTCCCCGCCCCCCGCCTCCCTAAGTTCTCTGTAGGGTGTTTCCAGGTGCTGGCCGCAGACGAAGTCCACAGATGCGAAATGCAGAGGTAGAAGTCACCCTCTTTCGCTGGGTCCAGGTATAACAGAATTTAAAATCCAGTCCCTGGAGTCACACAAACGTCCATATCCTCCGCTCACTCTTCTTGAGCTGAGGGTATTTTGGAACCCGAGAGGCAGCAGCTATGGCGGAAGCCAGTTTGTGGGTCCTTCCCATAGGCAAGCCATACCTGGAACACTCAAAATAGAGAATCCCTGCCTCAGCTCATTCCCCACACTCGTGGGCCCAGGGTAGAGGGTCTATCTAGACTCCCCCATGGCCCGCCTCAGGCGGTGTGGGCAGCGTCCACTGCAAAGGAGTGGCTCTCCCTAACACAGCCCTTGGCAGCTGAGTGCCCTGGGCCCCATGAGTTGACTGACTTGGGGTCTGGCCTCTGGCTTCCTTGCTGCTGCTCCTCCCCATTGGCAGAGGGCAGGAGGAGCACAAACCTGCCGAACCTGGTACCCGGTCTCTTCACATGTCCACTCATTAAGCTGCTTCATTTCAAGCTGGGGATATGGAGCATCTGGATGGTTTAAAACGACACATCCTACCTGGCTATGCCGTGCATAGGACGTTTTCCTGTCCTTCCTCCTCTACCCAGGGACAGTGTGTGTGCTCGTGTGATCTGACATATGATCTGCATGTAAATGAACCATCTTTAGGGACCAGGGACACAAGAACAGGTGAGCACAGCCTGCCTGCCTGGCAAGCTTTGAAGAGTTACTGATCAGAGGACGCAGGTACTACAGAAATCCACAGTGCTTCCGAAAATGCTGAACAGTAGGACATTTCTCAAAATGTCTCAGCCCTTCAGTATTTTACAGGAATTCCAACTCAAGCAGCTTTACGCAGTCATTATCACTTAATTACCAATATAAATCTCTCTAGCAACTTCCATAACTTCATTGCAAAGGAACACACATACCTCCTAAATCATCACCTCCTTTTCTCCCCCCAGATCATCCGCTGACAGATTTGTGGGGGCTCCAGGTTTCCTGAGCGATTCCTCTTGGAACACAGACGGTGCAGTTGTACCCCTTCTGCTGGTGAGGCTGCCGAGGGCAGGAGGCTAGGTTGTTTGCTTGAAAGGTTAAAGACTTTGGTGAACTTTTTAGTGATCCGAGGCCAAGTTTCCGGTATGCAATGAAAACTGAAACCCAGTTTTGGGTTTCCTTACCAAGTTCTCACAGAGCCCATTGTGACAAGAGATGTGCCACGGAGCAGGGACATGCAGCATCCAGCACAGCAGAGACACTCACTGGCCCTCAGTGCTGCTCTGGTTGGCCACCTGCTTTCTGTGTGGCCCCAGGCCTCACCTACCCTCACATCTGCTGTGTGGACCAAGCAGTCAGTACCCAGCAGTGTGGACCAAGTAGTCAGTACCCAGCAGTGTGGACCAAGCAGTCAGTACCCTTATGCCACTTACCCCTAGGGAGTCTTTACACTGTGCCTCATCTTGGGTGAAGTAGGGGATGCATGTTGAGACAGTGGCAGTCCTGGTCATCTTCTTGGTCATTGTCCCTCAGCTACTGTCCTTAGAGCCAAGTTAAGAGGACAGGATTTGGGCTCCTTCCTCAGTCCTCCTGAGGCCTTTCCTGGGAGCATACACAGTTTTCATTTGTAGAAACGACAGAAGGGAATCTCCCTCGCTCATGTTAGGCTCAGCTCTAAAGACTTCTCCTTCCTTTCACCCTGGGTCTCTGTTCCAGATACTCACACTCACCTGGCTTTCAACTTACAGAGAATGCTGGGAAGTAGTGTTCCCTGCATCAGCTAATGCCCTCCCAGATCCCTTCTGACTCCACAAGGTCCCAGAGTCAATGAAACGCTTTGATGACAGAAAACAAAGCCAGGCTTTGAAGTCAGACAGACCTGGCTCCAACAACTAACTCACATTTACTAGCTGTGCCACCCTGGGCAAGCTGCTTGACCCCTCTGAGCCTAGGTCCCTTCTCTGAAAACCTGGGCCAGTGCCAATGGCCAAGTTGTTGTCGTGAAATGAGAAGCTACTTAAATAAAGTGCAGAACAGAGTGCCTGACACATAGTGGTAAACAGTGGATTCTGCTTTTCTTTATTCATGCAATCTCTGCTGGGTTAAAAAGGCAGGCCTTAATAAATCTGAATATTGCTTCTGTCTTCACTTCTAGGGTTCTACTTCAAAAAGAGAAGGGAGAGAATGTGCAGTAAGTGTCTGAGGCCCCGATGAAGGCGTCACGCCACCACTGAATGCACTTTCCATTCAGATACTAATGTATTAACTAGTCACTACTGTTGGAACTGAAAATAAAAGTGAGGCTCACTTCCTCAGCCCAGAGCCTGACCAGAGTGTCCCAATGGCTTGGTTTTTCCTGTAACAAACCCCAGGTCTGAGATTTGCAGCCCTGGGAGTCATGCAGACTGTGGAGCAACCATCCGGAGGGCGAGTGCCTGGAACGGTGCTTCTCTCATCCCACTGCTGGCCCTGCATTTCTGGGGGATTATTTCACCACACGGGTGGCCTGAGTCCTTGGCCTCCAGCCTCAGGGCGCATTCCAGCACTCTGGGCAAGCAAAAATCCACTGAGAGGCAAAGCTTCCCTTCATGCCCCAGTGGCATGAGCAACTCATTAACTCCCTGGGGCTGAGGCTGGGATTACGTAAAAATCTGACATCCCACTGTGTTAGTGGTCCAAATGCCAGAGGAGCAGAGTACTTGCAGAACTGGGGCTGTCCTCACAAACAGTCCTCAGATGTTTTCTTCTCGAATGATTTTGCTTGGTCCGATTGTGGTTTCAAAATGGAAGCTCCGTGCCCAGTGAGGGCACATGTGCAAGGACAGGGGGAAGTGCTGCTGACGTGTCCCCAGGAGGCCCTGCAGAAGGACACAGCTGTGCAGTGTGGAGTTTCACACGCTTCTCCAAAGAGGAGCCTGCAGGGCGTAGTGAGGGAGACACAGTGACACAATTCCTGAGGCCCTGGCTGTGCTCCTGCACTGTGGGTTCCGAGCGCCATCTGGTGGCTCAGGGCTGCCTTTGCCAACACCATCCAGGCTTTTGCCCCCATGGATGGAGAATTCACAGGAGTCCATTTAAGTTCCATTGGAAGAGATCAAAGGCCCAAAGGTAGATCCCAGGGTCAGATGTCCTGAATCCACTTCTCATCTGGGTGCACATTGCATCAGGTTCTCCTCCAAGTGGGGACGGGGATCCCTCAGGACCAGGCTCTGTGCGATAGTAATGCAGCCTGCCCCACCTTGCTGCCTTCCCTGTCAAGTCCAAAACACCTGGCCAGGAGTCTCCCTGGTGGCTCTGCCTGGACACAGGTGT